CAACAAACTGAAATGAATTTCCTTTGTTGCTAGACTAATTTATTAACACCTGCACCTAATTTCAAGGGTGGGAGAAGTGCCCGAGATGGGTTCGAACGAGAGTTTAGACTAATTCATTATATTAGGAGGTGGAAACGTTGTTGAGATGGGTTCTTACAATAGTTTAGACCAGATACATTCGCGAAAGTGTTCGCTTATTACAGGTGTTGTATGTTGTTTCGGACCAAAAATCGATGCCCGCGGTCGCGTTACACAGGTGGTCGTTTAATACAGGTAACTTTTACGAAGACTCTATGGAGAAACTATTCCGTGCCAGAAATTTTTGCCCGTTTTGACAGGTGCCCGTCGAATGCAGGTGGTCGCCTAAGCAGTTTTCACTGTATATATAAAAATGGGGAATATCGCGCTTCTGACAATCGCTGCGAGTATGTGGGCTAGATTTAAAGAATCCTTGCTTCTCGCGTGTACAACTGTATGTGGCCAGCTCACGCGTCGGAAAATCTTCTGATTTATTCGTGTACGCACCAGACGGAAAAACAAAATATATCGTGTATCCACAAACACTCCAATAAATAAATAGAATTGAAAATTAATAATAATAATATTATAATAATAAGTTTCAATAAAAATGATAAAATGTAAATTTAATTTTATCATAACGAGTTTGCTTGAATTTCCTTTCTTCTGAGATCGCAGCAATGCGCGACGGATAAGCTAGTTATTAATATAAAAGCCGTCGTTTGTGTGTGTATTCTTATAACTGTCATTTTAGTCCAATCCAGATGAAATTATAATTATATTTCTTTCATGTTCAGACTGAAAATATGGGCTATTTATTTTGCAGAAACATTAGCTATGGGATAAACGTTTTATTGATTTGAAATAGCACTTTACCTTGCAGTGACATCACGGACCTCGTTTAGTTCAGGGAGTTTCTCTTTGGATACACTTTCAGATATTTTGGCAAATGGCGTATTTTAAACTTACTTCATTAAATTTAAAATTTAAACTTTAAGAAAGCATAGCCACATCGAGTTACTCTATAAGAATTTTTTTTTAAATCCTCTCTCATTATCACGTGATCCAATAGGAAGTAACGATCCAACGAACCCGTTAGCTTCAATATCTACTTTATCATAAAAAGCATTCAATCATGCTTGACAACGGGAAAGTCTAGTATTTATATAATTTAAGCTTATTTTTATGAACTAAATTCGTTTAATTTAAACGTAGTCGATAATTTTAAATGAACAATATGACTTTCGTTCTTTTCTTATTGTCAAAGCTCTTAACAAGTTAAATATAAATTGATTAGACTATAAAAAAATAAATAAATGCAATTAAGTCTGAATGAAATATAAATATCTAACAGAATCACGGGCTGATATTTCAGTTTTTAGTGTTGATGAAGTAAATATTAAATCTATAGAATATTAATTATTGTAATGAGACGTTTATTTCTATATTAAAAAGGTTTAAATAAACTTTCTTTTCATGACTGTGTCTAACCGTTAGAACTAATTACTAGAATTATTGATGTAAAAAATAAGAAAATCGCTACTACTTACAAAAAGTGTGCCTTTTTACCTTCCTTTTGAAGATTCTTTCACTGTAATTTTAGCTCTTTTTATTTCGAAGTTCCTTCTTTTTTCTTCACTTTAATTTATTACAGAAGATAAATTCCACTTTTCTTTATTGGCAAGTCTTCTTCAACCTAAAAAAAAAAACAAAAATAATACTGTACAGTACTGTATTTGTCCACACAAGGCGAGTGCTTTGACCACTCCACTACTTGTTTCTTTTGTTTCGTTTCCACACGTGGTCTAAATCTTTTCCAGGAATAAATTCCTTAACAAAAAGGAGACCTTGCCCTTAATTAAGCAAGTTTCCCTGCATTTAGGGATTAGGATCCACTTCTAGGGCATAGGGAAACTTTTTTATCTGTAAGGAAATTTTTAAAAAGTTGGTGACATTCAAGAAATTTACACAACATATCCACCCACCTACAGCCGAAAGTCTGATATGTTAACCTTTATTGGGCCGGGCTTTAAAAAAAAATAAACAAGCAAAAAATTAATTGTAAAAGCCTTACTGTCCTTTTAAATGTTATTGTTAATTGTCTACTTGGACTTTACTTATTAATAATAAATACTTTATTAATAATAAAGAATAAAAGAGCACATACGTGCAATAACGGGTAATTATGCAAATTCTGCAGTAGCAGAACACTGCAATAGTTATGGGTGCCAAATCAACAAAGATACTATAAAAATTAAGAAAAAAGAATCAAATAATTACAAACGTCAATTATACGAACATTTAAACATAAAGAAAGAAAGAAATAAAATAAACAATAATTTGGGTCGTATAATCCACCAATCCTCGAACACCATACTAGATGACGTTTATAAAAAAGCATAGTCTCTAAACTATAATACTGTTGAATTGTGAAAACTTGAAAATTAATGTGAGTTTTTTTGGTTTTCCTATGTGATGTTTTTAGTTTTTAATAATTTACAACCTTTATTTATTATATTTTAATTTATTTATACAGTAAAATGTTTAAATCATTAATTAATTATACAACGAAAAAAATACATGTATACTCTGTTCTGGAATATGTATTTACAGTAAGTTTTAAAATTATTTTTATGGATATGTAAAAAAATTTTAACTTATACAATAACTTATCTTGTTTTATTATTGTTACTTTTTAGTGTGTGGTAGTACTACTGCTGATGAGGGGCATGCTAGCCCGAAACACGTGTAATATGTGTACAGAAACTATTACTACAGGTGATATAATAAAGAAATTTTGTTCTTTCCTGAATTAACTCTCATTGCGGTGTCAATCTTTAAACACCAGTATTAAATCCTATTAATAAGTAAAGTCCAAGTAGACAATTAACAAAAACAAAAAATTAATTTTATGATAATTTTTTAAATTACGATATCTCGCTCGAAAATCGCGCTAGATTTAATCTGCTTTCTGTTTTTAATCAAAATCATATTACAGATTACGTTTGTTTAATTTTCTATATAATAACAATTTAAAACAATATTTAAATTTTACAAAAAGAATTAATTAAACAGATTTGATGAATTTTATAGTTTAGTCACTTACATCCAATGCTTCTCAACGTGGGGTGCACGCCCCATCGGGTGGAATTTGAATATTTTGGGGACAATGCGCAAATAATTATTTGTTACATTTTTTTGTTAAACAATCGCATTTGTCGAAAATATTTTTGATATGGCAACCTGACTTTCTGAGAAACAGATGCAACACTAGAGCAAATGTCAATACGACACTCAGTTAATACGTGTGATTGTGTGTCCCTGTTAAATTCTCTGAAGTTTATAACTTACTTTAATTTCGTTAAATTTTTATTTTCCTCTTATTTTTCTTCCCTTCCTTTGTCACGGGGGAACATAAAATTTTAAAGATGCTTTGGTGGGATACGGCTAAAAAGAGTTGAGAAAACACTGCTTTAAACAAAACAAACCGCAGTCCTCTAGCTAGAGCGGGGGAGAAGTTATTGCCATTAATTACACTGTCTCTAATTACTCTCCTGGGAGAAGCGTGAATGAGTCATCTGAGGGTCGAAGTTAACACAAGTTTTCTTCCATATAATATATATATTATACATTATTTTTATATTATTTCGGCTATTTTTACAATATTCGACTGTAATAGGCAATTTTGCATTAGATTATTTACATATTTTCTCGTATTACGTAACGCCAGGGGGAGTTGACTTTCCCGGAAAATTTATAGCTTGACGGCCCAAAATAATGTTTACTCGCGTAAATACTGTCTAAGAACATTAAATTAACTAATTAGAGCTAAAAGAAAATAAATTAAAAAAGCGAATTTATAGCGATTATTTACATTTTACTTCGAAGGTGAGAGGCGGGACTTTCTCGATTCGATTTATAGCACAAGGTATGTGATTGGTTAAAGTAATGTCAACAAAGACAGAAGATAGCCAATTAAAGTTTAGAAGGAGTTTCCCTTTGATTGTTTTCAGCCAACTGTGTAGTTAATTTCGTATATTTGCTGTAGAATAGTAGGGGGATGTATTTACCGAAATATTTATGGCACTTTTTGGCTGAAACAAAGTCAATCGACCTACAGAATAGCGAATCAGAGCTTAAACAGTTGCAAAATCGAATTAAACGCGAACTAATCGAATTTTTGGATTATTTTTAATTGCATTAAACATCAAAAGTCACGTGATGTTTACGCCTATCGGTGTAGGGAAAAGACTGTTTTCGGCCTATGCGTCTGTTTGCAATAAACTGATTCATATACAGGAGAGAGCCGCACCGATTCGAACGAAACTTGTTAAACATGTAACTGCTCCCTGTTCAAATAATAGCATCCACTTCTCAAGCGTTTTCGAAAAACTAGTCTCTGGAAATTGAATTTTTAGCTTTTAAGTCTGGAAGTTCCCTAATCTTTCGCAATTGTGATGGCTGACTGGATATTGTGTTAGATATCGGAACTACAGGATTGCAATTTTATGTTTTTTTTCTTTTTTTTATTGCGTGTAACACGATTATTTTACCATATCATTACCATTGTTGTTACTACAGTATTATTATTCCTCATGTGTATAGCTTATAGAGCAACAGATTTAATAACCGTAATGTCATTACCTGCTTAGCGAAGAAGAAATAAAAATTTTATTTAACAGCATAAAACAGTTTAATCTAGACAGACTTTTTTTTTCACGAAACAGGAAATGACGTGATGATTTCTAATCTCTTGTTTGTAACTTTTAAACGTAAGGGATAATAATAGTACAGGTAACCCCCGTATAACACGGCACTTCTATAGCACGGATTCGCTCTAACACGGTTCGAGAATTGGTACCATCCCTCGTATAACACGGTACTTTTATAGCACGGATTCGCTCTAACACGGTTCGAGAATTGGTACCATCACCCGTATAACACGGTACTTTTATAGCACGGATTCACTCTGACACGGTTCGAGAATTGGGTAAGACTCTCGTACAACAGGAAATGTAATAAATTTTTACATATTTAACTAATAATCGTTCACGAAAATTATTATTTTCGTGAACTATTAGTACTTAAGTATGTAAATTTTCTCTTCTCGCCTTCTGTCGATACAGGTGGTCCTTCTCGAAACTTGTTTCAATGTTGCCAGAACGCGACGCTTCTGCTTCTGATGTTGCCGAATGTTTTTCCCTTATTCCATACTTGCTTTATTCTTCATAAGTGCTTAGCACCATATAAGGAAATTTATAAAGACCTTTTAACTAGAAGCAAGCAATCTAAAATTACATACATTTTGCAAAAGGTAAAGCATGGATCTGAAGATAATGCAGAAAAATGCTCAGAGGATAAGGATAACTTGCCAAAAAGAAAACTCTCTCGGTTAATTAATAGTGTTTTTAGTGATGACAAAGAAAATATTGTTAATTTATATTAATATGTATCACTTAAAAAATTTTAATGAAGATATTTATCTTAATTATGAAAATATACTAGCATGTTTTCTAATTTTTGGAACCCTAACCCTCCTTTTCGTATTAGTTCTTTGTTTCGTATAACACGGATTCGCATAACACGGCAATTTTTTTGAACGTAACTACCGTGTTATACGGGGGTTACCTGTAATAAGAATGCTAATAATATGTTAAAATTAAATTATTCTGTTACATGTAAAAAAAAATCTAAAATGAATCAAACCCATATCCCTTAGATTAGATGCCTTTTCACTTCTTTTGGGCTTCGCAGTTCTCAGGAGTTAGCGGCTATCCATAAATTACGTCTTCATTTTTCTTCAAATTTTTACTTCCCCTCCCCATTGTTTTAGCTTGTCCAAGTTTCCGAAACCTCTTCCTCTTTTTAAACGTTCAACGAAGCTCCACCTTCCTCAAAATCTTTTATTACTATATGAATGATTGGTACTATAAATATATATGAAACATACAAGAAATTCTGAATTGCAGTAAAACTTCTATATAACAAAGTCCTTAAATCCTGAAGGAATTCGCTATAAAAAAATTTCATTATACTGTATAGCAATTACAGTTTCTGATAAAAGAAAGTATTATTTTATCATAATATTTTCGTTAGTTCATGTAATTTAAGTGAATATAAAGTTAATTATAATTTTAAGAGGTTAAGCAAATTTACATTTATTTCTTAAAATACAAGCTAATTTAACTACATTTTCGTTAAAAAGAAATTGTAATTTTTCGTTGCATAGAACGATTAAAAAATGTTCTCTCTTCGTAATATGTTTCAGACTTATTAAGAACAGTAGGATTCGAACCCACAATGGGCTTGCAAAAAGAGGCCCTCTTAGTGTCCACAGGGCGGAAAGAGTTAAAAAAAAAGTACATCGACATAAACACAGGTTATAGCACGTTATGCTGAAGGTTTTGCATCAGTGGCGTGCCGTGACATTTGGTGATAGGGAAGCTGTGTTTCTGTAAGAAGCCGACTTCCCGGGGCAATCAGTCATTGATGGTCTAGGGTCCATTCGTATTCGTTTGTTCGATAAGCCAGTAAAAACCGTAGACTTCTCTAAATGTATATTTAATTAATAGATTATCTAACGCACTTAATAAATAAGCAAGTTCAATATAATTTCTTTATATTAGATTCAATAGATTCCCTATGCCTTCTAAATGCCAATTCTTGCTTCGATAACATCTACTAATTTAAATATAATATATCTATTAGCCGTAACTTTGTTATAATTTTCAACATTTATTTTATATTGTTTACTAATGTTAAATTCTATTCTATTTTGATTTCCAAATTGCTTCAATTTTACGAAAGAATCGATGCGAGATTTACGATTTTCGTGTCTTTTGCGAACTTTACTCAAATTATTTAAATCGTCAAGGCCATTCTTATTCCACAAACTAATTTTATTTGAAAATAGTAGGCAAGGACAACAAAACAATTTTTGCAATTTTATGCACCCACAAAGC